GAGCCGCTAGCCGCGCACACCCGGGCCGCGCGGCGCCGAGACCGGCCGGTCACTCCTACTGATGGAGAGAAAGAGGTGAACACGTCGCGTTTGTATTTTTATATAATTCCTATACTCTTTAAATACACGTGACATCGATCCAGTTGCTCGCTGAAAATGTTTTTCGTAAATAATTTTGTTAAAGAAAAACTTTTTGATTTCCATAAGCCATATTACATTAACTACCGTATAGTTATCTACATAATGTCCTTACGGTTGAAATGACATCTTTTTATTAATAGGCAATATTTAAGTATTGAAAGCTGCCATTGCTCTCTTCTTCGCATCCATAGTTCTCTCCTTGTGACATGTCATACTTTCCTTCACACAGCCTGCCTGTACAATGCTAAAGCTCGCTTGCTCATCGCTTTCTGATTTTTTATCACTTGCAAGCTTTCCTTAATTCCCTCGTTTCCTATCAAATGCATTCACGTTAATGCAATACAACATTAAACTTTCGTGAACTAATGATCATGAGAAACGGCTAATAACGAACAGAACAGGCCAGTCCCGTTTCTGACGAAGAACTTCAATTTCTTTATTTCTATCTCTGTTCGCCCAAAACTCCATATTGTGATCTTATTAGGATTCATGACAGATCTTGTGATTCCACTAACATATCATACGGCCCGTTGGCTGCGGCTCTATTGTCTCATTGTTCTGTGAATTCTGTGGATTTTTAGCGCCATAAATGTTGAAAAAAAATATATTTCAAGAGATTTGGACAAGGGTGGTGACTTTTATTATTGTCTGGAAGCTCTTATATGCTTCACCGCGCAGGGTCAGATGAGTGCGTCACACGAAGGTATCGTTGAGACACTACAAACAATGCGATAAACACCAGGCAGTGTCGTCACCCGCCGACCAGCGACCGGCGACTCTATCTCTACATCACATAACAACAATGATAGGAGCACCGCGCTATACTCGCCATTCTTACTATAATTACTTCATTTAGGATTCTTAATACTGGGTGTCTGTTTAATACTGGGTGAAAATTCGAATGAACAACTGGGATACCGAAGTATGTACACGAAGGAAGCCCAAGCATTCATTATTACTAATGTCTAATCCGTTTATAAAACATCAATACCCGTCCATAGTCATTTGTACTCGTATGTGTGGGCGGTGGGTGCCGGCGTAGGGCGCTCGCGGTGGGAGGCAGGCGGCCGGTCTATGGCTTCGTATTTTTGTCATTTCTAAGCATTCCGTGCATCTGTCATTGGAAATCTTCCAAGGTTGGGTCCTTAAACCGCATTAAGTCACAACTACTCTAGTCTCTTTACGAAGTAACATAGAGATCGTAGTTAGCGAGGCGAAAGGGCGCGAAAGGGCGCGAACTTACGCTAGGTGCGCAGGTCACGGCGTGCGTCGCTGAGCGCGGGCCAGCGGCGCCGGCTGGCCGTGCTGCGCTCCGCCACCATGCCGCTGCCGCTGTCCGCGGTGAGCCACATTTACCATGTCGTAGCCTGCCCGACGCTCTGTTGCAACAAGGTATAGAATCGTTTTCATTGCGTGCGCTTTACGCTTCGCATCACTAACTCCTTGCTCCAACGCTTCGGCAACGTCGCTTTGTGTGAGAAAGATTTATTTCATGCGGAGCCCTACTTACACCATAAAGACGGGGCACCGCCTCTTCATGACGTCATTGCAAACTGCTTTACTTCTCTAAACAGATAATTAAAACTAATTCGTACTAGGATAAAAGTAAACATTGGATTAAAACTCATCACTGGCGCGTTTATAATATTCTCGTTAAGTGCAGTCGCGCCTCCTCTGTTCCCCTGTACAAATACATATCGGTCTGCAGACTAAACATTTTAGTGAAGAGTTTACGCTTCGCCAAGACGAGGTCGATCGCGTTTCCTTCTCATGGCACTTTGCACAAATATTTAAATCGGCATACATTAGCAGCGGGGAGATAGCAGCGGGTGATCCGCGGCCTCATACCACACTGGTCCGGCGTCACACACACCTACTAATATGCTTTGGGACAATAGGGCAAGTGAAAACTGACGCCTTTCCGAATGATGCCGCCTGCAAATGATCCGAATATGATACAAACAAATACGAATGATACTCATTGTTTACAGCATCTTTCGTATTTTCCAACTGAAAATCAAACATTTAGACGCAAAACAATTCCATTCCAAATACTTTGGCAGGTGGCGGGTTCCCCCTCCCCCGCGCCGCTACCGCTCACTGCGCGACGTCGCCGACTAGGAGACTCACTACTCACTAGACACTTATATCGAACGATCTTAATTTTCTGCATTACTATAGAACCATATTATTGTATTATTGGGTAGCAGATCCACAGACCCGTTTTAAGGGGAATTCTTGTAATCGGTCACTGGTCTGCAGGTATGCTGCATGACCAGCGGCGGCGGCGAAGGCCTTCATGACTCCCCATTATTGCATATAACGAGTGCTCGACGAAACAGGCCATGCATTCTGCTGACGGTAGATTGCCCTGGCAACCTGACCCGGTGTCATCTTCCTCTGGAAAAAAATATGCCTCCGGATAAACTCGGAGTGCTTAAACGATTTTAAAATCGTCTTCTAGCTCACTGAGCTTGTCGTCGGTGAATAACCTTGTCTTTGTTTGCGCGCCTGACTGTTTAATCGTACTTTAGTTCTTAGCACATTTATATGATGAGCATAATGTCGTTTGTTAGGTGCGCGGGCCGGAGAGGTCGCGCGGCCGGCGCCGGTGCCAAATGCCCGCGACGAAGGGAAAGTGGTATGTCATCGGGCGGGATGTGGGCTGTGGATCCAATTTTAAATATCAGCCGATAGTTGTGCGAGCGTGGCCGGCGCGTTCGGTCACTCTGTCGCTCACACGGTAGCGCGCTGCCTCATACTCCACCTCACGCGACACATCACAGCTGCACACGTGTGTCGTCCAGTGTTTACGCTATTAGCCCTATATCCATTTTACAATAACTATGTGTCGTAGCTACGATTAAAGCCAACGATGGAGAGAAAAAGGTGATAGTGATAGTATACATTCGTACATGTACACTCACCGTGACTGTGGGTGTCTACTGCCGTATCGTTTGTATTGATACTCATTGTGGACACATCTGTCCCATTCACGGTCTCTTTGAAACAACAGGGACAACAATTCGTGCTGTCACAGTGGTCACCGCAGTAGAAGCCCACATTGTTATCCTTGTTGCGGCAATGTTGTAGAACAGGCTTTACGACAATGGAGACTCACTGGTAGTGGTAGACAATAGATAATCTTGCTTTTGCTAAAACAATACCCAGCCACGAAAGAATGGTATGCGATAAAAAATTTTGTCTGTTTTAGTCGTAGTTTTTCGTAATAACAAAAAAAATGAACTGCAGATCCTACGGCTTCTGTTTACCTTACTTCGTATTTATATTTTTTTTAATTCAAGCATTAAATTATAAAGTAGTATTATATAGCAACATGATTGTCATCGCGCACTAAATAATATGTTATAAATTTAGGGCGTTTTAGTTAAGAATGAAAGGGAGCGGTCCGCTAGCTTAGCTCGCTTCTGACTTTCGGCAACCGACGCTTTCAATAAGACGATGCTGCGTCGCAAGATGCGCCGCCTGAGCGCGGAGTCCGCTGACCCCTCGGCCTATGACCTCGCCAGGAGCCGGCGCGCCTCGCTCAGCGCGGAGCAGCGCCGGCGCCTCAGCCTGCTGCGGGCGGCCAGCGCGCCGCTCCCGCCCGACCCGGCGCCGGTGAGCCACCTTTACCATTCGCTCCCCTGCCCGCGACTCTGCTGCCGCCAGGTCTGTGTCTGCCTCCCCTCCCCTGCCTCACCTCACCTCGCCTCACCACGCGTCTCTAACACATCCTTACTTATTAATGTTGCCTCAAATGAGTAGGTATATAAATTTAAATAATATTAACGAAATATGAAAGGCCGGTGGAAAAGATTGAGTTTTATTTCAACCTTTCTTCTTAGAGCTTCAGTATGCCTCCACTGTACCTACAGTGATCTGGAGGAAAAATCCCGAATGTTAATTCAAAAAACTCGCGTGGAAAAAGGATTTTCCGGACACGAGCCGCCAGTAGCCGCCAGTAGTGTCGAATTTGATATAAATTCCCAAGCATATATTACCAAGATATTAGGGGAGTTTTAAGTTTGCAGCAGCAATTATATGGAATTCTCACTCTCCCCCCTTAAGAAGAAAATGAGTACCGATAACTTTAAACAGAAATAAAAGCTAGCACTGCTGAAACGACATCTTGATGCAGAAAAGATTAAACACTGGAAACACCTAAGTCTAAAGAGGTATCTATAATCTTACAAATATTATAAATGCGAAGGTTTAAATAGATGGATGAATGTAAGGAATTACCACCAAAATGGATGAATGGATCTCGATCAAATTTGATATAGACGGGGAGTGGAGTTTGGAAGAATAACGTGGTCTACTTACCTTTGTTTTTTCCACGGGGACGAAATCTATAATATGCCATTATACTCATCACACTCTTGGCACTACGTAATATCATTCACACAAATACAAATACACTTTCTCACATGTACACTCACACGCACTCACACAATACACACAAGTCACATGCATATAGAGAGTTGAGGGGGCTTTATTTCAATTTTTATTTTGGAATTAGTTCTTTATTAACTATTTTATTTGAGTTATTGTTTATCGCTGTTTACTTTTTTTCTTTAGGTTTTTACATCTGTTAAGAATATTAAGCTGAGTTTGTTTATAGTGACATCCGACTATCTACTCTTCATTATATATCTTGGGAAGGGGGGGAGGGGTATGGCTGAAATCCATCTCGACACTGGATTTCAACCAGTATCGGTTAAGCTGAGCCTTCCCCTTTTGCCATTTGTCACAAACTTTTATATAACTATGTTTTTATTTTGTACAGTTCTGTGTATATTTTTTGATAGAAATAAAAGGTTTTTATTTAATCATTTATTACTAACTATTATTATTTCTACGGTTGTCAAGCTTACATCATGTATCTCTGTATTGACAAAGAAAAGTTTGGATGTATGCATGAGTGTTTGTTACAATTTGTAACCTAAACGGCCGAAAGGATCTCAATGATATTTGGCACAGAACCTAGTCTGGAAGAACACGTAGGCCACAATTTTTTTTTTAATTCCACGCGGACGGAGTCGCAGGCGAAAGTTAATAAATGAATATGTGTTCCCTTGCCCTTAGACGTAGATAGAGTTGACAGTGAACCAACACAAACAAATGTGTCACTAGTTGCAGAGTGTTTTAGCTCAGCCGACACAGACACAGAACGAAGTCCCGCCTGGGGTAACTGTCAGTCACCTCCCTTGCTCTGTGATTACAACTTAGGCGAGGTATTTATGAATTTGAGGAATTAAAATTATACATCAATGAACTGGTTTACAAAATATAAAGGAACCTGATTTCACAGAAAAAATAAATTTGTCAAATCATAGGTTTTCAAGACCTTGAAATGACTTCTTTCTTCTTTTTGCTTCTTCAGTTCACGTAAATGTAGACTGTGTAACATCACCGGTAAAGGTCAATTGCATCGTGTAAAACATAAACATATTCTTTAAAGGTATCGACATCATGCACATTTATCATTTTCATGTAATTTTCACAGAGCATGTTGTACTAAATGTATTTAAAAACTAGGTATTCTTTACATTAGTATTACAGTGACTGATGTTAAAATCATGTATACTCTACATACTTTATATCTACAAGTCCGAGGAGAACTTTACTTGACGCTCGATATCTGCTTCTAATATAACCGTGTCTTGCGGTACAAATGACTTGTAATCGAAAAAACACATTACAGGTTGTTTGGAGCTCAAAACGCGACATCGCGAAGTATTCAAATGTGTGCGTTGCGTTTACAAGATTATAATAATTTATGTGCAATTACACGGCGGTAGTAACGGCGCCGGCAGCGGCGGCATGGCAAATATTATTAGTGCGCGTGAGTTACGGACGTTACATTACAATACTGTTTAGGTGGAATCGTGGTCAAGCGCTGCTTTATTTCGAACGGATTGAGCCTTACAGCATCGGCTGTCGTTGCATGTTTCACCGACATGTATTTCCGTTATTTTTTCATCAGGCGTTTACTTTCCACTCGTCACCCGCCATCCCGCCAAGCGCTTAGATGTTCGCGAGACTGCTAAATCGGTGTAGATCAACTTTATAGTAAGTTTAAGCTTCTAGTTGTTACTTGCTAGTGAGAGGTAATACCCTCTTACCTGTCACTAACAGGTTTTCCTTATTTATTAAACAAAAATATCGTTGGCATTTCCGCTGTTTTCCGCATTTTTTAAATCTTTTAATATAAAGCACGTCATATGTAGAGCCTCTTGAGTCCAACAACAGTAGCTGTAGGTGTCGCATGACATATACACGTACCTACGAGTACATACATACTTTACCGGGGCACAATTATTGCAATTATTTACGTGCAATTGACAGACCGTGCACAAGTCGCCGCCGTGCCCTCATTGCACACATATACACACATATCTGTACCTACTCACTGATGCCTATTATTAACAAGTTAATATTATGACAGAGCGTACAGCGATTGATTATTAAGTCCATAGTTATGTAGAAATAAATCGCAAAAAGTGGGGGAAATACAATTTGCTGCATTAATTATTGCCTCCGTCTACTGGGGCTTCAGTTTCCGGCTCGTCAGGAAGAGTAAATAAACCAGTGGAAGCATCAATAGAGAGGAGATGAAACATGGCCAGAGTATAACTGTAGCAATAGGAGCTAAACTCTGCTCGAGTTATCGCCGAACGCTTTTTTATTTTTCCTATTTTTTAACCGCTACACATTTTTTCCGGTGACACAGGAAAACATTGCAACACAGCGCACCGCAGCCGAGACATTTCTAGTTCGCCGGCACAATTCTTGGCACCGGCGCGTAAACAATAAAATTTGACGCGCGGCTGTTAACCCGCTTACGTAACGCGCCGTCCGCAACGAGCCACAATGCCGGCTGCCCGCTGCCTGCTGCCTGTTGCCCGCTGCCAGCTGCTGCCTCCTTGTAGATAGGCTGTACTACTGTACGACCGACGACAGGAAGCTTCGGATCCTCAATACGACCAGAGTGCATTTTATGATACTTTCCTAAATTGATATAGCTAAGATACAAGAATACTCAGGGAATGAGAGTACTCAATGGCACAAGAAAAAGACGCCGTGGTTGCACTGAATATAAACGGGGACAAGTTACAGCTAAAAATATTAAAATTGCCAGAAATTCTTTTGGTATAAACGGGAGAGTGTGAATACGCCTTAGGAGCGTTTATTAAAAGCGATCGAGGAGCGGCGGTAGTGCAGCGCGCGACACTGAGCCCCCGGCAGCCGCGGCACTCGCTAGCTACCGGCAATCGCCACCACCGGCGTCCACCCGCGTCCACCTACATCCACCCGCGCCCGGCCACGTCCATCCGCGTCCACCGGCGTCCAGCCGCGATCGCCCGCGACCACTGACAGCGCCGGCTCTCGCACCATGACAGGCCGCGGCGTCTGTGCTCAGGTACTGTGACGTCTTGACGAAAAATATTCAGTTGCACACCACGCAGATTTGTTTGAAATACTCGTATCTATTAAAAACAACAGTGATAGCGTAGAGTGAGCGTGGACATGAAGTAAAGATTATTTGAGTCCGTATCTGTTTCGTTTAGTTAAGTTTGTATGAACAGTTTTTTGTTAATACAAGAAAATTAAACAAATCAAGTTGTTGACTTTTATTGTTTAATACAGATGATAAACCCACCAACATACACCAAAACACACAAACACCCAGCAACACACATGGACGACGTTTTTTTCATTTGTTTTTATAACATTTTATTGTGTAATGTCTTAAATGATTAAACCTATACCTACTTCATATGACATAAAGCAAACCTGTGTGACGAGGGAGAAACTGAAGTACCTCTCCGATTGTTGCAGAAGTACGTGGTCAGCACCGACCGCAGCGGTGACATCCACGTGCATGTGCAGGTGAGCACGGCGCCTACGCCGACTCCTGCCCCTACGCCTTCTCCCGCGTCTTCACCCACGCCCGCGCCCTTGCCCATCCAACGCTTGCACTGTTTGAATTAAATAACAAGCGTTCACGAGTATTTGAAGTATAGAGACGAGCGTTCCTCACACTCCCGGGTCGTCAGCCTATTTGCAATGATAATAAATGATATAAGGTATTATCTACATACTAGAGCAGCGATCTCTTTAGCGACTTCTCTTCGCCACGACACGACTCACTGCAGTGCACTCAGTTTTGCCTTTGGTCCAAGGATGTCATAGACGTACCGAGATACGTATACGCTAATGACCTGGATGCTTTGAAAGGCAAGCCGAACCGGCTCTTGTAATATTTCAAGGACCTCAACATATTTGTTATGTTCGTGTATATTCTGTATCTGAGTAAACAAAAAACGCCGTAGCTATTTTCATAGAGGACGCGGACGCGACCGACACGTGGCCACTCCGCGGCGGCTATTAGCACACGGCGGCAGGAGCGTTTGCAAATTTAAAATTATTTTTTCGCATTAAACGGTTGTTAAAGACGTACTGTTCGCTCAACCTGCACCGCCCCGCCTGGCGATTAGCCCTGCGGCGATCACTCGACGACGCCGTCGCGAAAAATGCCAGAGGAATACAATTAACAATTTGTTCTACAAAGACTTAATGTAAATTTTCATACAATTCTACTGAAGTAATAACATTCCATCATATAATCTTTTTACCTTCCGCTTTTATAGAATTTTTGTTATTGAAAGTTTTATCGGCAGCGAGCATTAAGGGCATTAGGCACGCGAAGTGACAGGAGACAGTTAACGAGCAAAGGCAACAGGTGGCCAGCCACAGGCGACAGGTAAAAGTGACCGGGTGTTCTGTTGCAGGGCGACCTGAGTCAGCAGGACAAAAGATGCGTCTTCCTTACAGTCCATGATTTGGGCACAAACCGTAAGTCACGTTCCATTAGCAGTTTAATTATATTTTAAATTGTCATAATTTGAGGCACGTCTCACTTTTACTAATCTCCAGAAACAATCTGAAGTCCTTCACTCTAAATCAATCAAATCAATCTCGCTTATTGTTTGGAATCTGTTTTGGGGGGAACGTCGAATTACGTTAGGTTTAACACGACTGCTTTAAATTTGCCGGTCGTCTCGAATTAGAGCATAGCCTCATCCCATCCGACTGCACTCGACTCGTGGCTCTTGATAGAGTGTAGCAGTCGGCGAGTCAAGCCGTGCCGAGCTGTGTCGAATTCCGTGCGACGAGGGCACGCTGATTGGTTTCGTGTTTGATTTCGCAGATACGTCACTGGTGGACTTCGTAAACTGTCCCGCAATGGCCGAGATCAAGGAGCGCTCCTGCTTCATCCACGTGGACGTGCCAGGCCACGAGGAGAGCTCGCCCGACCTGCCCGAGTCGTCAGTGTCACACTAATTGTTCTACATTTAAATATGGTCTTTTAATTAATCCAACTAAGATAATAATTCGCTAGGATATGGTCATATCAAATCAGTGTTCGCACCTTCGAGTACTGGAGCATTGACATATGTTGTGAGTGTATGCGACAGGTACCCTTTCCCGTCGCTGCAGACGCTCGGCGAGGACCTAGTGACGGTGCTGGACTTCCTGCGGGTGCGGTACGCGGTGGGGCTAGGCGAGGGTGCGGGCGCCAACGTGCTGGCGCGCTGCGGGCTGGCGCACCCGGCGCGCCTGCTGGGCCTCGTGCTCGTCAACTGTACCGCCTCTACCTCTTCGGTGGCTGATGCGTTTCGGAGTCGCTTCTCGCGCTGGCGCGGCGCCGACATCTCGCACTCGGAGGAGGACTTCCTTATCTACCACAAGTTTGGACACGTGAGTTCTCTGCAAGAACCCCTTCACTATCGCTACCAGGTTTGTTCTCTTTTGTTTGCTAACCTTTTTTTCCACGGCGGAGCTCACGCCGTAGCTAGTAGGACACCGACACCGACACCGACATCGGCACGAAATCAACACATTATTTCGTAAAAATTGTTGTTCTTAATCTTTCTGTCTGTGAAATATATAACTATACCTAATATGGTTTATGTTAAAATACAGTTAATGATGTCGCTAAATTTGGTCAGAGCTGGTTGACGCGCTGGCATTGGCTCATTTAATTGATCAATATCGGAGAGCGAGAGTTCTTTATTTGATACTAGCTGTTGCTCGCGACTTCGCCCGCGTGGTATAACAAATAGAACCTATTACGTTCTCCCTTTTTTTCAACCTATTACCAAAAGTATTAACTTAGTAGTAATAATCTACGTATTAACAAAAATCTATCGCTGCAAGATTCCAAATTTCTAAGCCCGGTAGCATGTAAGCTGATTTTTCGGTTACCCTTATTGTTTGTGTTTGCGATATCTTCTAAACTATTAGTCCAATTTAAATACTGTATCAATTTTATTCTACATTAAATTCTCCGGATAACAAACGCATTTCTTTGGATAAGGATTAATATTGAAACCAATAAAAAAAGGCTGCAAATAGCGTAAGGTTTTTAATTGATTTTGTGAACAAAAAAGTGGTTATTGTAAGAGAAGCGTTAAAGATAGATATATACTATCGCAGACTTTTCTATAGAACTTTTTGAGATCTACAATTCTTCCATACATCATTTTTTATATACTTCTAACGGTTTAGGCAGCGTAAGCCGAGAAAAGTTAAAGTTTAGTAATTTTTTGACGCCGGCGTCCAAAAACACGATGTTTATTAATAGTTGCCAAATATTAGTAATAATAAAATATAGCCTATGTTACTCAGAGATAAATTACCTTTCTGATGGTGAAAAATTTTTTAAAATCGGTTCAGTGGTTTTTGAGTTATTTCAAAACATACAAAAATACAATGTTTTCCTCTTTATAATATTAGTATAGAAGACCGTCTAAAAGTTAACAGCAACTACTTCAGTTACTTCACTGACAAGGAAGTACCTTGCAAGTAAGCAGAGGCACGCACAAGAGCGGCTCCGCGCAGCTGTTAAGAATGATTCCTTTTACTCATTGCCGTGTTCACGAATAAAACGTCATATGCAATGCGGTTACGTAGCCTTGAGGTACATAAATACATACATACATCCGTACTACTATGAGTATCGCAACCGTCGCATTGCTAGCAGTTCACCAGTAATGAACTTTAATTACACAGGAGGCAGCTACATCTAATGGTAAGTTGCAATTAACCTCATAAATTCCTTATTGAAAGTCTACACATACGTCTGAAGCCTGAGCTCCTCCCGTTTCTCTGACCTTTGTAAACCTTTGTGAACTCTCTTGTCAGCAAGGTTAATCTGAAATTTTGCTAAGTCCAGACGATAAATCGGGCATCCTTCTCTGATACTATTTAAACTTCGGGCAGATTGTGACGTTTAGTGCAACCTACTTGTCGGCGATTGGTTTTTTACCAATCCGGGATTGGTTTACGTTACAACGTGAACCAATCCCCTATACCTAAGTATTATCATTTATTGCAAAGTATTTTTTGTTTTAACAATCCACCACGTGCGTGACGAGTGATTATATTTTTTGTTCCGTAGTGTCTTATAACCTTCACAAGTAAACACGATAATAGTCGTTCAATCGCAGCGCGCGCTCCGGAGAATTTATTACGACACTCGTGTAATTATACTTACTGCTGCTTTGTCGATGAGCAATTTATTTTCTGTTGAGTTTTTTCCTATAGATTCAAGATTAGCTTATTGACATTTATGTTTTTGATTAACTGTAACCAAGTTCACTTTGATGTTGAGTATTGCACGTTGTGTAACGCACGCGGCTCCAATAACTGACGGCATCGCACATCGTTGCTCACAGCCCCACAGCCATCGACTGCTGTTACCCTGCGAGGTTCACGCTCGCGCCGACCGCATTATGACAGACCACAATCAACATTATTCGCTGTCGTTTCATATTCCATATTGCCTTCTTCTATAACTAGATCTTTCTTAGTTCTAATAAAGCACTAACTAATAACTTCAGGTTGGCTCTATTGTCAAAAAGAATAATGAAAATATCGCGACTAATAGTATTATTTTTTGTTGCAGCAAATCCCGGGGGAGGGGGAGCGCGAGCGCACGCTGGCCGAGTACCGGTCGCGGTTGCGCGGCAATCTCAACCCGCATAACCTCAAGCAGTACGTGCGCGCCTTCATCAAGTGAGTTTGGCATCCCGTAGTGGCTCATGTAGTGCGCATTAAGTAATGATGGTGCCCTGTACCGCGTTACAGTCGCAAGGACCTGGTGCTGCGCGGCTGCCGACCGGACCTGCTGCTGGTGACGGGTGCGCGCAGCCCCTACGCCGCCGTGGTCGAGAAGATGTACCGCGACCTCGACAAGGACAAGGTTACCATTCTCAAGGTGGATAACGTGGGCGACGTGCTCGCCGAGGCGGTGAGTTCCTTTCTCTCCTGCTCCTATCCAGCGGTCACGCCATCGCCTTGCATTCCTCTCACTATATGTACTCTTCACATATGGAAATGTATTTCAAACAATAGTTAGAGTAAAGTTTTACTACTTTTTATAATCGATATGCATTACCGACACCTTAACCCATTTCTGCTTTACAAGAAAAGAGTGGCAAAGGGATGAAAACCATAATGGTGCCTTAGGCACACACACTCATCAGACGAAACGCTGGATTGCTCCCACTTGTCGTATGCGCCAGGTCCGCACGCTATATTCTCGACGTGTTTTTGTTCGAGCGTACGTTTGTTGTCAATAAATGATGGTCGGCGGGGTGTGCTTGCAGCCAGCGAAGGTGGCGGTGTCGGTGCTGCTGTTCTGTCAGGGCCAGGGCCTGCTCACCTCGCTGCCGCCGCCCGGAGTGCAGCGCCGCATGTCGCGCAACATCTCCATGGAGGAGTACGACACGCCCAACATCCGCCGGCTATCGCTGACGCCCGCCGCAGCCGCCGCGCCCGCCACGCCCGCTGCGCCCGCGCACACCACGCCGTAGCCAGCAAGAGCCTGCCGCACCGCTTCCTCTGCTGCGGTGGATCTTTGTCATATACCATCTTATAATTTCATGTCGTGTCATTGCCGTTTACAATTGTCGTAGACTTTTGTATCTGTTTTGTAAGCCTATTTTTTGTACATCTAATGTTTTTCTTGTAAATTATGGTAAAAGTAAAGATACATATTTGTTTTAGTTTTTGACCAGTTTTATTGAATTGGATCTGATCATTTGGTTTAAATCTAGTAAGTAACCACCTCCTTTTGACAAATAGATCTGGTAAAAGACCATTTCATTTGGAAGGAAATTGTGAACAAGTGAATAGTAAAAAATAAAAAATATACCGATGTGATCCTTATAATCTCTAGATTGGCGATATTTCAACGGTTTAAAGATGTATACGTTGAGAATTGGATCCATTACCTTTGGGTGTCGAGTTTCTCAGTCATAATTGAGAACGTATCAAGATATCTCCCGACTACATTTTATTTCGTAAAAAATATAAATATTGAAGATTTGAAAAGATAAATATTGAAGATTGAATACTCATCAGACAAAACGCGGAATTGCTTCCACTTCACGCCTGTTTTCTGTGTGGTCGTGGTATTACACCGAGCGAGCCGGCCCATTCGTGCGAAGATGTTAAAGCGGGCTCTACCACTGTTAAATCATACATGCGTCCCCTTGAAATTAGAGAATTTCTTGAGTTAACAAATGGTATCACATTTTCGTTACAACAGACATAAGATGATTCATGTTTTCACCAGTAATTATTGGACCCCCTAGTTTTTTTCCGCGATAAAAATATCTCCCACTGTGAAGAAAACCTCTGTGATACTGCTTTTAAAAACTTTTATTTCTTGTTTTCATGGAATATCATTAAAAAACCACACATAATACGTAAAGTAATGAGGCGAAGTGAACTGACAAGCTATGTCACTATTACCCTGAAATTAAATGTTTTATCGATTTTCGATTTTTATTCTTATAGAAGTTGGAATAGATGGAATTATTGTATTAACTTTTGAAATAAGAGAAAAACACTGTTTTTTCAGATTAATAATGACCATAACAAATAATGAGTGAAATAAATATTTATTACTACTACAGCCGTGCGTAATGGAATTGGATTTCGCTATTATGTCTGTCATCGCTAAATTCTCTACATTATAATCAATACTAGAATTGTCCTCTAAATAAGTGAATAAGAAAATGATAATTTTAGTTGAGTTGGATAATTCATCATCATCATCATCATCACCAGCTCTCTATATGTCCCCACCGAGGGGCTCGGAGCCTACCCTAATACGGAGTGACTAGGCCATAGTCAACCACGCTGGCCAAGTGCGGGTTGGTTGACTTCACACAATCTTTGAATTTCTTCGCCGATATGTGCAGGTTGCATTACGATGTTTTCCTTCACCGTAAGAACGTCGGGTAAATTATGTACATATGAAAATACGAAAAATCGAAAATCACATTGGTACATGTCGGGATCCGAACCCAAAACCTGTAGATTACAAGTCAAGTGTTCAAACCACGGAGCCACCGACGCTCAATGACGCATTTAAACCGAACATCGATAGTTCAAAATTGTTCGCTATGTGTGTCGGGTGTCGGTTTCGTTCTATCTTATTTAGACAAACTACAGTATTCATGGATCTGTTACTGGAACATGATAGAGCTCTTGTCGAAAAATTAAAGGCGTGCGAGTCCTCAATACCTGTACCATTTTCCATCTCTGGCCATGGTGACCATATTGAAATATTATTTTAGGACAATAATTATAAAAAAATATTCGTGACCTAACGTCAGCACATCATTGGTTCAGATGGATTTTATTCAAAGGTACTAATGATAAACTTGCTTTATGCGGCATTATATCATACATTTCCCGGTTTTGCTTGCTTTCCATACACGCATCATATACTACTTACCTAGTGGTACTTGTGGGACACGACATGCAGATGGACACCTCCTTGAAATTGACCGCCTCACCTCGATTTTTTTACTTTTTTGATCCAAATCGTTTGTGAATCGTTACAAAGGGTTTGGGAGAAAGAAACTTTTGTTTGAGAGTTCCTACTTTCTCCGTAAAAGCAATTTCAATTTTTAGCGTGAAGTTGGCCCCCACACTCCATTTATTTTTACCTTTTTTATGTAAATCGCTAGAGATTTGTTAGAGAGATTGAGAGTTCTTACTTTTTCTATACAAAATATTTGGAATAATAAAATCGATAATCGAGATAATTTGATTCATGATTGCTAGAATTGGATAGTCGGGCATGGTCACCGTAATTCTTCACTAACAAATTATGTTTAAAACTATTACCTATGAAAAAATAAACAACAATTAGGATAATACTCGCTTTCGCAAGCCTCCACGGCACAAGTTCTCACCAATTTAACAAAGAAATTTTAAAAACATCACGTATTTTAAAAACGCTGCTATTGAAGTCCGGTTTGACAATATCATGCGGTGTTGTCAAGTCAGGTGTTCGAATTTCAAATAAAATAAAAGAAAAATTAAAACACTTCTGACGGAATTAATTTATTTAAGCGTTGCAAAGGTTACGTTGAAGGTTGAACATATTTGGTGATGCATAATACATTTTACGAGCTATAAATTGTTACATTATGCATATTTTGTTTCTAAAAAATAAACAAATTAAATCAAACCGGTAGTTAGAACGCATTTATGTAGTATTTTTCTTTTGTATCAATACGATTTTGATAATATCTGTGGATTTGCAGGATTGCATGAATTGCAGTATCAGACATCTGCATTCAGACACATTGTCATCCCTCTGCCTTACAACAGTGACAACGATGTTCAGTCGAGGTGTTTCTCTCTTCTGCACATGCGCGCTTACGTAAATAACAACCCAACACCTATCAACCTACTACCTGTCAATACCTATACAAGGGACGTCCATGTCTGTCGAGAATAGCGAATAATATTTCATTTTATAACAAAAAAGTTAGTGCAGTAGACGATTCGAAAAATATTTTTACAACCTTTAATTTAATTTCACTTCTCCTGTCGATAAGGATTCATTTAGGACTACAAACGGCCGCCTTGTGAAATATTTTACAACATCTTTGAAACACTTTGAAAGGCTTATAGGCAATTTAAAAGCCACAAAACACATGATAAGGGAAAGAAAGGCAAAGGAAATTAATTATAGGCAATTCTATGATCTTCAATGATGTTAGGACGTTTTTTCAATTAAACTTACCATAAACAGTAAAATTGTAAAAACAATTTTATGATTTTCTTTTATTAGTTACCCAAATAAATAATCCAACGAAATTATATTCAATTATTGTAGCATCAGTAATAATTTGGTCTAAACCAAACTCCATTGCAAGAGAAGGAAAAATTACCCTGCCTCATCTTAGAGTTTAGAGAAAGTGTCCCACTCGACAGGAGGCAGTCGTCACTCCTTCACTTGGAATGTTTCAAGTCTAAGGCCATTGACTGATATGTTCCTCGAGTAAGTAGACTTTATAATGACGAAAGAGACGGTCAAACTTGTTATGAACACGTTGTTGCGCCAGAACACGGCAATGCTCAGCCGCGCATGCCGCCCGTCTACTACACAATTTATATCATATACATCGTACAAACAATTGTATTTGTGTAACTATAGTATAATCGTATAGATATTATGTTTATACCCTGTGCTTTGGACAGGTTTAATTAAAGTTTTGGTCGATTGTTCCGAAAATACTGAAAAAAGTACATGAAATTAAATTTGGCACAGGTGTAGAACTTTATCTGCAATTCATTTTGTTTATTCCGCGCGGACAGAGCGGCGGGCAACAGCTAGTAATACAGTAAACATGAAAACCAGTATAAATTCGTTCTCATTTGTTGTGGTAATTGTAAGGGTGGTATATCAAAATAATCAACATGAAACGAACTATAACTGAATCAGGAACGTCGGTCAATGACGTCACCTCTACCATGCATCGCTTTGTTAATAAAGTTCATACATAATACAACTATATTCGTAATATTCGAGATAGGTTATAATTAACAAAAATATCTTTGCTTATGAGTTATCGTCTAATTTTGACCAATGGTCGTGCACTGGCTATTAATCTTGTTAGTATGCACCTTCATTTGCTGATATACGTTTTACAGCACACTTCTAGAAAACGAAATAATAAATCTTAGTCGAAATCTGGGTGCGCGGCAGTGCACCCGCCGAGGCGAGCACAGCCAAACACTATTTTGTCGAAGCGCTTCGGGTCACTTTTGACCCCCTTGCCCCCTTGTAACTTCGTTGAGGATTAAGATAGTAGCTTGAAATTTTGAACATCAATAGATATAACGGAATTACTGGATATAGCCAAAAAATCTTTTGATTATATCCAGTAGTTCACAAATTATAGCTAGTTGAAATCTTCACTTTTTTACCCAAATGCGTGTTTAATCATTTTTTAAAGATACTTCCAATGGTGCTACCAACTTGAAATTGAGAATTTAATCAGCGCATTGTCTATAGACCTGGAGAAAATTTAAAATCTTTAAATTTATTGGTTTAAAAAAAAGACTTTTATAGGGAAAGCCAGACTCGGCACTTATTTATATTTCATGTATTTTGTGAGATTAAAGTTACATTGAATGTTATTTATTTATAAGTAAAAAAAAAAATCCATTCCTTGTTATTATTTACAACGCCATAAAATAATTGGTTGTTATTAAAACTACGACCTTAAAGTATTCGATTCGATTCGAAAAGAAGATACTCGGGCATGTTATCGCTACAATAGGGGGTCGCGCATAAAGGCGCAGAGCGGAGGCGCCTTCGAAGGCCTCTCCGTCGTCGGGGAGACGTCACGTGTCCGCGAGGCAGCTAGCCAGCT